CATGCTAGTGAGTGTGGTTCTTTACACTTTTGAACTGAGCTGAACTGGCGCACTTACAGCCATGTATTGTTTGGGGTGTACATTCTGCTAACAGGCGAAATTGTGTGAGGCCCATAGCATATGGGGAGGATGTACATGAAGCTTTGTGCTGTGGTCTTAACTTCTCATTGTTGCTGCTGCTCATATCCAGTTGGTTACTCTGATGTGGTTAAAATTCCTCCATCTCACATAGAAACCTTTTGAAATGCATCCCTCTTTTGGCCAACCAGGTATTCATCAGCAGTAATCCTGACTGCACCCAATAGGGATGTCTTAAGGCCTTTATAACATCTAGAATCCTACACTGGTTAACTTAAGGAGAACAGCTGAAAATTGCCCTCAAATTGCTTTATTCACACTTTGGCAATTTTTTTCACAATTCAGATGTGTCTATCCCTATTCCAACAATTTAGAACATTTCAAGAAAAATATCCAGCACAGCATAAAACCTTACTAAACTGGTTGATCAAGCCAGTTAGTGGGCAAGTTCTTATCTGAGAGACATGGGACGTGGGTGGCGCTGTGGTCTAAACCACCGCACCTATTGGGCTTGCTGATTGGAAAGTTGGCGGTTCAAATCCATGCAATGGGGTGAGTTCCTGTTGCTCTGTCCCAACTTCTGCCAACCTAGCAGTTCGAAAGCACACCAGTGCAAGTAGATAAATAGGTACCGCTGCAGTGGGAAGGTGAATGGCGTTTCTGTGTGCTCTGGCTTCTGTCACGGTCCTCCATGCACCAGTAGCGGTTTAGTCATACTGGCCACATGACCCGGAAAGCTGTCTGTGGATAAACACCAGCTCCCTCGGCCTGAAAGCGAGATGAGCGCCACAACCCCTTAGTTGCCTTTGACTGGACTTAACTGTCCATCTTACCTGAGAAAAAGTGTTGTATAGAGGTTGGTCTCTGGTGGTTGGAGAGCCCCCATGATGACGAGAGATGGAGTTCTTTCATAAAAAGATGTTCCTTAAACCAAACCCTGCATTGATATAAACATGGTACTTTTCTATGGAGAGGCTGCTCCATTCATTTCATGGATGGAACACATTATCATTTCCTGTTAGTAGTATTTAAATGAAAGTGTTGTACTGTGTACATGGCTGAACAATCCCATGACCAAAGCAACAATAATTGCTTATCTATTAGTCCTTTTATTCAGCCAGTGGAGCTCCCTATTTGAGCTTCAAATTACTTTTTATTATATTACCGCCTGTAGAATAAAAATAATAATTATCCACTAGTTGATCTCCCATAGAGACACGGGTGATAGTTGAATACTTGCACAGCTGTGAACCTAACTACAGTGATGTTCTAGCCAATATTTGTCAAGATGAAAACAATGTTAAGACAGACTGGATTGGGATGTATAAATGCAACCTAAGTGCAATATTTAAAATGTGATGACTCAGCCCACATGGTCAAACAACATGGGAAAGGAGCCAAAATTTGTGTCCAATGGCCACATCTTGTCACCTGTGCTTTGGGCACATATGAGGTCCTACGCATGTATGCACATGGCATTCCTACACACAAGAGTTTTTAATATCATTGGAATAGCTGTTACTTCACCAACAACAAAACAAATAAGCATATAAAAATGGAGGAAACTGGGGACTCATTTCCCCCAAGAAAGAAATTTACTTACCCACAGCCAGGGTACACCCTTGTGCAAATTAATTGAAACAAAGCATGTTTTCTATCTTACTCGTAATCCTGTACTCAAAACAAACACGAAAAGTCAGTTGATCATTATGGTGTTGGAAGCCTGCAGCCAATAGAAGGAATGATGTGCTCACCACAATATATTGAGGTTCTACGAAAGAGAGTTATTCCAGAGCTGGAAAAGAGGTATTCTGATGGAACTGGGATATTGCAGCAGGGCCTAGCTCCTGTCACACATCAAAAGTGGTGAAGAAATTCATGACAAAGTATTTGATTGGCCAGGGAATTCCCTGGATGTAAATCCCACTGAGAATTTGTGGGCTATATGCAAAAGTCGCCTCCGTGCTGTAGACTGTACGACTATGGAGAAGCTCATTCAGGCGCTGATTCAAGTGTGGTACAGGGATCCGAAAATCAACAGTGACTGTTCAAAACTAGTAGACTCCATGCCAAACCATGTTCAAATGCTGCTTAAAAATAGCAGAGGTCATATCCATTCCTAATGTACGTATATGTGAGTTTTGTACATGTATATGTGAGTTTTGTACAATAAACTACATTGTTTGTTTCAATTAATTTGCACAAAGGTGTAGGAAATTAATATCAATTAGCTTATTAATACTAATTAATTAACTGCTTGGAGAAAGCTGTGAAAAAAGAGTGCAATTTGGTAAGTGACTAATTTAAGAGGGCCTCCTAATGATACTATTCAATACACAATGCCCATCATCATTCCTTGATAACTGAAGTTATCAAGTATCTACCATTCTATAAGCAAGCTGGAGCTTGAATGTGATTTCCTACTTACACATCAGTTGGGAAGACAGGTGAACTAATGCCAGTGTACTGGAAGAAGCAAAGATCACCAGTGTTGAAGCAATGATTTGTTGGACTGGTCATGTTGTGCGGATGCCCAGGCCTTAGTTTGCCTGCCCATGCATTAGGGTCTGCCATGTGTTTGCCTCCAGGTTAAATACCTTACCACCCACAGCTAACTGTCAAGAAAGTGCCCAGGTCTATGGCTCCCAGTCATGTCCTAACCCAAAACCTTTTAGCATTATATAGCCAGTGGAGGAGGTTTTAGGAGAGTTGAGGTTGGGGGAGGTGTCTTCTGTGAGTCCCAAACTGTATAAAAAGTATCTTGTTGTCCAGACTCAACGAAATCCTGAACAGGAGTGGTCCTGAGGGCCTGGTGATACAGATTGTATGTCCACACTTCCTGCCTAGCAGTTTAGCATGGAGAAACAGAACTGTTGCTGCGCAAAAAGGTTGCGTTAAGGATGAAAAATCTTTCTTGTTAAAAAGCACAGCTCATCCTCTCCCGAGTGCCGTACCAGAGCAGGCAAACTCCCGTTTAATTGAACTGTTCAGTATTTTATTAAAGAAGCCTTAATTTGGCTGCAGAAAGCACAAACGAATCCCTGGTGTTTCTGATCATTTAATGAGATTGAGCATTCTCAGGCAGAAAGGGGGGGGGGAGATTTCAGAAATTAGTATTAAATAAAAGGATAAACAGTATGATGGCTCTGCAGACCTCTCAAAGTTTTCTTTCTCATTTTCTTTGACATTTTAGACACATGATTTAATGAATCCAATAATAGAGAGGGCAGAAGGTGGAGAAAATAAGTCAGATAATTTTTCTTTAACTTGTCCCTCAGAGGTGCATTTGTTTAGTAGTGGATTTCATTTTCATAATGATTTTTAGTCACCAGTTGTGACACAGCATCAGTTTAATGTGGGTATCAATGAACCTAACTTTTCTTCTTTTCTTCTTCTTTTGTACAAGGAATGGAACATGTTAGATTAGGGTTATTTAAAAATAAAATATGAGTAACAATTCTTCCCAATAGCCAATGCCAATTCAGACATTCTTTTTGCGTGTTCAGATCCAGAAAACTCCCCCCTAAATAAATTCACACATGACTCAAATTTTGGTTTTGGTTTTTGGCAGAATTTAGGGCACAACTTTACAGAAAGTAAATGGTTGCATAGGCTCTGGTTTGACTAGCTCCCTGCCATGCTGGTAGTGTTGACCCAGGATTCCAGCATAGGACAGCCAAGGGTGAACACCTGGATAAGCGGAAAGCTGGGAACGGGCTAACTCCACCATGAGTCCCCATGGACTCATGCACGGGCACAACCCCCTCTCAGGGGTTGACCAAACCATGGAATCCCTGGACTCCTTTAACGGAATACCGTTCACATAGGGATGGCGAGAGTGTTCTCCCATCCCTATCACTTGAACCAGTGCCTATCCGCAACCTTACAAGTTGTGACGATTTGCTACGCGGCAGGTGAAACCCAAATGGCAACAGTCAATCAGCCAAGTGGGGGAAATTCCTGCCATGCCCCTGTCCCAATGACAGATGACACATGACAGCATAGCAAGGTCAAGCGCAACAAGCCCTAAAAGTAGGGAGAGGTGGGCGGGTGTTCTGAATGCACGTGCCGAAAGAGAAAGCTCTGGGTCATGTGCATGGGCATAAATAGGTCCCTCAAACTGTTTGGACTGCGTCCCATTGGCCAGATTGCACCCAGCTTCGAGGGGCCTACCAATCGGGTGTTGTGGCTGTCCAAACAAACCCACCCACAACACAGGGTGTTGGTTGTCCAGAACTTACCGCAATACGTGCCCTCTTTAAGGGAGGACCTGATTTTTGGTGAGAGATGGTCATAACTAAGCACAAAATACATATGTGGTCACTTGAGTTCTGAATATGTCTATAGGTTTGCCTACAATATGCATAGAGAGGTTTCCCAATCCTTCTCCAGCACCTCAGTCTGGATCTGGAAAGAGGTCTCCTCCTCCACAGAAGTTTGGCACTAGCTTTAACACGCAGTCAAATATGGTGGACTCCCTTGCCTGTACGTCCATCCCTAGAAATAAAAATGAAGCAGAGTTGGGGGTACACTGGGTGGACTGCAATTTTTGGTGCCGGGTTTTGTTTAAAATTTTTTTTTTGCAATGAATTAAATGAATGCATTCAAAATTGAAGCCCTAGGTCAAAGCCTAATTTGCACTGACGTGATAAACCTATGTCTGAGCTGTGCCACTCCAGTCTGTAGGCAGGGCCCACAAAACTGAAAGCTCCTCTGTGCAACAACAAACAAGCAAAATCCCTGCTTATAGAAAACTAGCTTGTTAGGTTAGCAGTTTGATGGTTGCTTACATCATTTTGGCTATAAAGGTCTGACACACACATATAAACTCATGCATGCATGCAAACTCTTTAGATGGTAGTGTGAAATTACTTTGAGTACTTCAAAATGTAAAAAATCCTTCCAGTAGCACCTTAGAGAACAACTAAGTTTGTTAATTGGTATGAGCTTTCGTGTGCATGCACACTTCTTCAGATACCTTCTTCAGAAGTGTGCATGCACATGAAAGCTCATACCAATAACAAACTTAGTTGGTCTCAAAGGTGCTACTGGAAGGATTTTTTTTATTTTGTTTTGACTATGGCAGACCAACACGGCTACCTACCTGTAACTAGAACTATGGAAGGCACCACATTGAGCTGCATAAAATGGAAGTCAGGTATCTGAAGAAGTGCGCATGCACACGTAAGCTCATACCAATAACAAACTGAGTTGGTCTCTAAGGTGCTACTGGAAGGATTTTTTTTATTTTGTTCCAACTACGGCAGACCAACATGGCTACCTACCTGTAACTTCAAAATGTAGTAAGCCAGCTCTACTATGTGGAGTGGGCCTTCTTTTCATTCTGCTGATTGGGACTCTGGACTTCTGCCCCAAAATCCTGCCCTAATGGCATAAATTTCACAGAAAAATCTGGGCTAGATCTCTTTTCTTCCAAGATCCCTTGACACCAATATTTTTTCCTACCCATGTGTGAAACAAGGGCAGGAATCGAGCAGCAGACCAGAGCTACGACCAGACTAATAATGGTCATGTTCTGAAATGGTTTGGAGTGGCATCAATAGAGGGTCTTGCACCGAACCATTTGTACTTATTCAAACACAGGCAATTTTGATTCCCTTTTCCTTCTTTCTCCGGTGTTGGGAGGTACACTCACAGCTCTTGCAATCCTGGCATATAATTAAACCCAAGAGCTTCCTTTCTTAGGGTATCAACGAACTCTAAAATGCTGTAATTTTCCTCTTCTTTGTAATGTACTGCAAGGTTACAATAATGATAGGAACTCTGAGCAAAGCCACTTATCCCTGATGCCTCCCACCCTGCAGCAACCATGTTGGAGTTGACAGTAATTGACACAGAAAGCATCCAGCATCTTCTAGGCTGATCCAAGAAGAACTAGTTATGAATATGAACCTCAAGACAGTATTGAGCTTTGACAAAACCTTGCTTCTAAGTACTTCGAGTAATTGCCGTGATTCTTAACAGTTTTTGAAATGCACCTTGTACTTCAGAGTTTTTATGTTCCTGATGTTGTAACTTGATAAAACCATTAACCTTTCCACTCTTTCCTTTCTGATCCATTCAAATGATATACAGAATAATGCTTGTGATTTATGAAGTTTAGTGAATTATTATTTGTAGAACGCTTTGAAGTTGAAAGCCTAGATATCAAGGCTAGGCAGCGTTACAATAGCACAAAGCACCAATCTCTAAGATTTCAAAAAGCGTTTCTCTGAATATGTATTAAACGAGGCTCACTTCTAACATAATTGATTTCCAACAAAGTCACACTTCTGCATAGGGAAAAATTACATGAACTTTGCATTGATTGGTGCAAATGATAATCACCACACACATATAAGCCCACTTCTCTGTGCATACACTGAATGTGTGAATGATGATCAGTTAGGGAAGCTTGAATAATTTGTTCTTTGCCAATTCCAATAGGAAGCAACCTGATCTGCAACTTCTAATGTTTCAGATATTTGGGCCATGAGTTGTTTAGGGCTTTCAATACTAGTGTGAACTAACTGTACGTTCCACATAAATACAAACCCAATGGTGGTTTGGCATTCACTCTATTCCTTCAAAATTATAAATGTGCTCTTGCATGCGCACACATGACAATTAGGTAAGACGGAAGGAAATCTCTTTGTTAGGATATGACAGCTATTTAGTCATTTGCCCTTGCCAACTTGACGTTGATATATTTTCAAGTAATCATGAATACACACTAAGATACTAGCTCTGCCTACTTGATTTTCATTACTTCGGAAATGAGGCTCAGTTTCAAACATCAATAATTCAATAATATTGGCCCTTTCACTTTCTCCTATAGTTTGTGGATCAATGACACTTGGTGACTATGTCAGCGGTGCAACATAATTAGCTCAGTTAGCCACTGAATGCTACTGTTGATCAAGAACAACACCAAAATTTGTACCTACATCGGCACTCATAATCATTTCATTGAAGCTTTGTGGAAGATGCTCTCAGTTGATAATACTCAACACTCTGCAACACTTTTCAGCAATACTGATCTCTAAGCTGTTGAGGAATTAAATAAAGTGTTTGATGTGTTGTTGCCCTTTTTTATTTTACTCTTATAGGCATTTGGATAACATTTTGTACCTAGTGGCTGATGGCCTTATTGGAATCTTTGATTTTGCTTTTTTTGGTATGTAACAGGGTGAGCTCCCGTTGCTCGGTCCCTGCTCCTGCCAATCTAGCAGTTCAAAAGCATGTCAAAGTGCAAGTAGATAAATAGGTACCGCTCCGGCGGGAAGGTAAACGGCGTTTCCGTGCGCTGCTCTGGTTCGCCAGGAGCGGCTTAGTCATGCTGGCCACATGACCCGGAAGCTGTACGCCGGCTCCCTCGGCCAATAAAGCGAGATGAGTGCCACAACCCCAGAGTCGGCCACGACTGGACTTAACTGTCTGGGGTCCCTTTACCTTTAAGAGCTCAGTAAGGGATAGAAGGCAGAGCTGGTTTTCAGAGTATCTCAGCTGCTGCTATGATTAAGGGGGGGCACTGTTTCTCACTGAGATTACATGGGGTTTCCTCCTCTTGTGTTACCAGGCAATATCTTTGGAAGAGGCAGGGCAGTGGGCCACTTAAATGAGTCAGTCACCCCCAGAGGCGGCCTCCATTTCCTTGTGGTTTTTGGATGAATTTGCATCTTCCTTTGACAGTATAAGGTAAACCCTGAAGACAAAGCAGACCCATATAAAGCCATCCACCGCCTAGTGTGATTTTCAAATTAATCCCCAGCTTTTCTAGTTATAAACGAACAAAGAACAGACAAATGTCACCTTTGGTTATGGTGGGTTCCTTGGAAGTCCCACGCTATCTGATCCCTCTGCTCTTTCTCACTGAGAACAAAGTATCATCATTATAATGTAGCAATTTTGTGATGTCTCATCATTTTTATAAGAATTTTTTTATAAAAAAAAAAAAAGCACACACACCAGTTTTCACTTTTTATTTTAAAAGCTTGGCTTCCCTGCTGCTTTCCGAAATAGTAACATAGCTGGAAGATGCACCATAGCGGAAGCAAAGGAAAGAGACCCAGTGCAGCTTGATCTCAAAGGAAAAAGAGTATGTAATAAAGATGCTCTTTCAGAAATAACAAAAGCTTTGCTTGTAATGATCATGGGGAAGAGAAATTCATATGTATGCTGATATTTTTTAACGTTAAAATAATAATATATCAATCCACAAAAAAAGTTGTTCCATAGAGGTGACCATATTGCATGTTTGATCTTTACTATTCATTCCCCAATCGTCCTCTCCATTCCAATGTTGTCCTTACAACGTTGACCTTCTAAAAATGTTCCTTGTTGTTAAATAACTCCATACTTACCACCAGACGTTCACATCATTCATGCCTGCACAAAATAGAAAATAAAATGAGCAGGGAGGTTAAGCCAGAGGGGGAAAGCAAAGGGAGGGAGGGACTCCAGCATCCCGGTGCCTAGGCTGGGTTGCTGCTATCTTTCCATTTACACAATTAACAAATCAAATTACAGCAAAATTTTGCAGTGTGGAGTAGTTCTCTTTCAGGGTTACAGCAAGCAAGCCATGTTTTCCCCTATCCCCCCAAGATATTTCATTTTAGTCACCTCCTCAAAAATAAAAATAGTCAAATAGTATTGCATGACTACTGGGAATGCTTAGATCTTGTGTGTGTGTGTGTGTGTGTGTGTGTGTGTGTGCAGAGCCGTCTTTTCCGTACAGCTTAGTGGTGCGTTGTGCCAGGGCGCCAGCCTCTCAGGGGCACCCCAGCGAGTGGGGGAGCTGCCTGGTTTTGCCGGTGGCCTCCCCTTCACCTGCACGCCTGCCAGCTGCGCCCTGTCAACCATATGGCTGGCGGGCGTGCAGCTTGCTTCCCAAGCCTCCGCGGGAAGAGATCAATCCCCGCAGAGGCTTAGGATGGAAGCTGCCCCCCCCATGGCTAGCAGTGTGTAGCTCCCCCCCCCACTATCCATGGTAATTTGGGGGCGCTGGGTGGATATTTGCACCCCAGTGCCGCATCTGCGAAAGACGTCCCTCTGTGTGTGTGTGTTCCCCCTGCTATTTTAAAAAACACGTTGCTGCTGCTGACAAGGGTGTGGCGATCACACACAGGGCCCCTGGATGTCTGACGGTCTATTGACCCTGTGCCGCCACTGCGATTGCTTTTTCCGCTGCCACCACCCTGTATCTCACGGGGACACACGGAGTCCAGTTAGTTGTTAACATAAACAAATAATCAAATTTATTTTTAAATGCAGGAACAAGCTTATGGTTACAGTTAATTTTTCTCTTGTCAGTTTCTTGTTCTTAGTTCCTAACAACTCCAAACTGATTATTCCAACTACCTATCTGACTTCACCTAACATTTCCTCTCACTCTCTCACAATACAACTCTACCAACCCACACCTAAACCTCCCTCTTCCTTCTTCAACTCCCAAACCTCAACTCTCAACTCCCAAACCTCAACTCTCAACTCCCAAACCTCAACTCAACTCCCAAACCTCAGCCCTCAACTCCCAAACCTCAACTCAACTAACTTTCAAAACCTCCCACTCTAACTTTTATTCCCCCCTTGCATTCTCACTGGCCAATGACATCACACCTATTTTAACCCTTTCCTTATGACCCATCCTAGGAAGCAAATGCCACAAAGGGTGATTTAACAATCTGCACAAGTGATAGTTAAATATGAAGAGTGGAATCAGGCTCCTAAGAGTCCTGCAAGTTTCTCCCTCCTACAGTCGATTTGTGTGAGCAGCTTTATTTAATCCCAATAAATCATGGAACTGGATTTATCACATAGCCATGGTCTCTGTCATCCCCGTTGTTTTCATCTGGAAATCTGGGAATTCCCCCCCAAGCATTCAGACGTCACTTAACTGGAGATGCTGTTATTTTGACTAAATAAGATGGAAGCGAAGGCACAGAAAAAACTCAATATGGAGGCCAAATGGCCGAAATATTGGGAAATTCTGGAACAAGATGGAGACAGAATAAAATTGCAGAGCTTTGAAAAAT